TCTCCTCCATCTTTCCTTCTCTTGGGATTTTGTGCACATAAATATATTTACCCAGCATGTTTTTCAAGTCCTCAGGTCCAGGACTCGAGCTGTACAGTTGGCCATGTGGGATCCAACTGCTAAATTACCATGCCACTGGTTGGCCTTTAAATATTTCTTTTATGGAAGAAATATTTTCAACTGACGGTTTAAGATAGAAAGAGACAACCCAGTGGCTTCATCCTGTCCCAGATTCAGAAGGGCCGTGTTTTAGCCTTGTCTGGAAGGATAGAAGTGAGGCTGGGTACCATGCTCTTACCATACAGGCTGTGAAGCCAAACAAGAGGGTGGCTTTGTGAAGGCATAGGAGTATGGATTTCCTGAAGGTGGGACCCTCACTGCTTTGTGAAAGCTGAAGGGAGCGCATGTGTGTGTGCACATGTGAATTTAATGGATCATCTAGTCTTACTTTATCAAGGGCTCAGCGGGTGCTCTCTGAGGTCTGGAGCAGGTCACACACCTCAAAAGGGGCCCATACACTGATTTATGCTCCAGGACGTGCTTCTGTTCACTTTTCAAAGCTAGTTCTTATTAGGAAAATCAGTTGACTCCAGCTTGAGATTTTTATTTGCCATAGTCATTGATACTTTGAACTGAGACTGCTTTAGGGTTACCACTAAGATGGGTTAGGACTGGTGCTAAGGGAAACATTCTGACATTTCAATGCCTAACTTCTCTGGGAAGTTTATTATTTTGTCCAGAGAAAGGGACACCTTGTCTTTAAATGGAATGATTATGATTTTTTCTGATGTGGTCATCTCGAATCTCCTGTAAGGTTAGTTATATTGAGCGTCGCGATAAACAGATGGATGAATTAGAACTTTGAGCGAGGGCCTCCTCACTGGTCATAACTGCAGAAACACTCTCATAACTTGGCAAACAAAATTAATAAAAACACATTTTATGTTTCCGGAATTCTAATGAATCTTTGGATTTTTTTTTTACTCTGGAAAAAACATAGTTCCTGCTTTGATTCACCAAGCTTATGTTTTCATTTATTAAATATATCTAGTGCATAAACCTCACAGTTTGCCAAATAAAAATAAATTATAATGCCAAACAGAGGTGTCCTTTGAGCTGTACCATGCATTGGGGCAGTCTGCCATTCCCACTCAGAAAAAGACGAGGATAAGGCCAGCTTGGGCTTGAAGTAGTCACTTTGCACCTACCTTTGATTTTATATCTGTGAGCATTTCTTTTAGTAGTTCATTCCTTGTCATTATTTGAAGGTGTACCAAAGGTGGTTTTGGCAAACTCAATTTAAAAGAAACATATCACAGCTGGTTTGATGGTATAAGGCAAATGATAGAAAAATTAAAAATATATATATATATATTGGGTTGTTGAAAATTCATGACACATTTTTGCATAGGAAAGTGTAGAAAAATATGTCATGGCTTTTCTGACAACCCAAATAGTTCCTGTAAATAAGTGTGATATGTAGTTAATGTGTAGGTGGTTGTAGACTCCAGGCAGGTAGAGAATATCTTATAGTAGTTTAAAAAAAATTTTTTTTAAAGAATTATTTTATTTAACTTTATTTATTGATTTATTGATTTAAATTTGACCAGAGAGGGACTGCATGAGAGAATGAGAGTGAGAGCCAAAAAGTGAGAAAGCAAGTCATCAGGTCTGGGATTCGAACCATGGTGAATCATGTGGGAGTCTAGTGCCCTTTACCACCATGCCACCTGCCGGCCCCCTAAAGTAGGTTTTAACAGATCTAAATTCTACAGTAACGTATAAGGGGACTTGAAAATATTGGTAGAGAAACAGCGTTAAAGTATAAATTTCTTTTAGTGCAAAACAAAAGGAAATCCATGTGTAATTTTTTTCAGAATGTGCATTTTCCATGGAGTTTTGAAAACCCCATATACATTTCCTTTCAGTATGCCTTCAGATAATAAACAGACTGATTTAAGTAGTCTATAACCAAATGATTGTCCTTAAATGGCTCCTATACACTTGTTTATCTTTTTGTCTCTCCATCCATCCAAAAGGAAGTGTTTCAGGAGACCTTACCCTTCTTTTTTTCTTTTTTTTTTTTTGGAGAGGTTTTTGCTATAGGGCACATGCACTTGCCAGACAGAGAGACAGAGAGACAAAAAGCGAGAAATCACCCCTCAGAGGGGATGGCCACACAGCAATTCCTCCTCCTCTATTCTCTTCTCGAAATCTTGGGCATGCAACACATGCCCAACATGAGTTTTTTTTTTTTTTTTTTTTTTTTTTTTGGGGTTTTTTTATAAGGGGCGTGTGCTCGCCACGA